CAGCTGAGAAAAGTTTTAGTATGCATGACTCAAAGCATAACACAGCAAAAGAACTTCAGATCAAGTGGTCTACTCCAACGTTAACCACAATGAGATACTTGTAAATTATGGTAGCCTATACTGTGCCTGCACTAACCCAGATATTCAGACTGTGAAAGAGTGAAGATGATTCAGATACCTCTAGTAGATATGTGGCCACAACCTAATTTAAGTGCCATCTGGATGTCTCTAGTAGTCCTCTGATGATAGCAGTGGTCTAGAGAGCTTAAAATCCTTAAAATATTAAACTTAAGCAATAAATGTATTTTATTAACATATTCTGCAATACAAGATAGTTTCTTAGCCTGTGCTTTCAGAGATCATACTCTCTATCTGCAAAGGGCTCTGCAGTACAGTCCTGGGCTGTCCTATTCCTGAGTTTGTCCCGTCAAACACTTCTAAGGCAGAGATGGAAGCCAACTTGCATTAAAAGCTCTCTCTTTCTGGCAAAAGAACAAGACTTACTGGTAATAACAGTTATCTGTTGAGAAGATAATATTTAAATTTAGCTCTTAAATGTAAAATAACCCAAATTAGGAACCTAATGCCCTGCTGTGATAGCTGGGGGGTGAGTAGGTTCCCAGTGCAGAAAGAGGCACCTCTCTTCTGAGTCTTCCTCCTTTGCAGAACCTCCTGTTCCACATGTACTACAGAAGTAGTCTTGGACACCTGCTTTCCTAAATAACAGTTACCTGTGATTAGTCCTTAGCCCTACCTGACCAGGTTTTCATATGTAATCATTGAGTTAACCAATTCTTCCAAAATTATTACTCTATCAAAAAGTGACGTTTAATAAAAACAATAGGTGCAATAAAAAAGGCACAATTATTTTGAAACACTAACCTGAACAATCCAGACCACTTTTTGAGCAATGTTTCATTGTACTGGTCTCTTATCTCAAATAAAAGATCAAATAATCGATTGACAGGAAAACCATAACCCTAAGGTAGAAAAACAGAAAGGATGATATTTGAAGAACTAATACACTCATTTCTATCACATCAATTCAAGATATTAGGATTTCTTACCCAGTCTTGCCACTTTTATAAAACAAACTCTAGTACTTGAGACACACCACTACTTTTAACAGACTATCTATTACTAAATATCTTCATTTAGTATACTAAATACTTCCAGGTTTTGAGCAGAAAATTGTCCTATTTCTCTGTAACGCTTTAGCATTTGTTATATTTATTACATTTATTTAAAAATTAACCTGCTTTATCAGTGTATCTCTTATTATCAGAATAACTTGATAATAATTTGATCTTCCAACTAGAATACTAATGACAAATGCAATATTATTCTTCCTAAAGATCAGAAGTAAAGAAAAATCACATACAAATTACAGAACTAATAATTTTATATAGCTATGGATGCTAAGTGGATTGCATGAATTGGTAAAATTGAAAAGTAGGAGTCAGAACAAGAAGTACAGATGTTTTTATTATTTAAAATATTACTATATATTTATGTTCTTGATTCATACATAGATGTCAGGGAATTTCAAAGCACTGCACATACATATCTAAAAGAAAAAAGACCACCACAGTGTTTCAGTTGAGTTACTCATATGATACCAACCTGTAAAGTATCAGCAAACACTACAATGAGATTCTTCAGTTCCAAAACAAGGTCAGGATCACTGCAATATGACTGAAAGCGAGATACTCTGATTTGGTTAAAATATTTTAAAATCTTGGACACACTTTTTCAAATAACATTGTCATAGAAAGGTAAGTCTGCATCTTATCCCTTTACCCAACTGCCTTTGTAAAAACAACTTAGACTCAATTATCTTCACTTATTCCAGTTATATATGAGCATTTGTCTATCCATGCTATAAAAGGTCATAAAAAGCAAATGAAAATACACTGCGCCATAAACAGAAATGTGTTTTACCTAGAATCAAAAGCAGTGAATTGCACTTACTTGTTTAGCAAAGCATTTTAATGTGTTCCATTAAAGTAGCAGAAAGGGATTTCCACAGGACATACCTTTGAACATAATCTTAACTAGCATTAGCACTGTGCCACCTCAGTTTCCCAAACGTAAGGGAAAACCTTACAAGAATACTTACTAAACATGTATATCACTCAAATTACAAACTCAGGTGTGAAAATTCACATACCTAAATTACTTAGTTCACTAAATGCCTGTTACATTTCAGAGACGTGGAATCACATAGCTGAGATTTTCATCTTTGTTTCACTATTCTGAATACTGGATAATGCCTGTTCTGCCTTTCTGTAATTTTTGTTCTCAGCATAATCAAATAAAGCAAGGGTTTTGCTTATAAAACGTCAGAAGACAATATATGCCTATGTAAAAACTAGTCTGTACTACAGTCATGTTTGGAGAGGTTAATTTCACAGAATGGGATTTGATTAAAGTCATGGATTTTAAGAAGAAATACTGATCAATCATATCACAAGACCTTGAAAAGTTCTTTAAATTAGAGATTACATAACTTTTACATCTTAAATTATCATATTCTTATATAAGTTTATAAATCAGTATTAATATACAGCCAACTAACCTGCTTAAAAAAATCCTGAGTATGTCTCAGCTTAGCCCAACCCTCTGAAATAAAGGACTATGAGAACAAAACTTGACCAACACATTTCCTTGATCTTAAACAATAATTGCAATCTATTTTTCCACTATTTTTCTTAAGTACACATGAAATGCTAAATATTCCTTAAATTAAAAAATAGTTGTAAGAAAAATAACATGAAGGAACTGTTTGTAGCAAACCTTAAAAAAGGCAAGGTAAGACTCTTCTACTTTTCTTCATACTAAAAGTTAGGCCAAAGACGACCTTACTGATAACTCTTAAGTAATATACCAACAGTTAGTCTCAGTAAATAGTAGTATTTGATTGGTTATTGAAGAGGAATCAGAAACAGCATGCAGATATTCAGAATCAGTTGAGCAAAGAGTAGAAGTGCAGCTTTAGGATCACACTTTCTATATACTAGAATGTCATGCCACTTCAGAGTAACATTCTGAAATCTGTCAAGATTTTTGTGTACCTTTACTCCCACATCAAGATGTTACATTGAAGAGGTAGCTCCAAGGGTTTTGCTGGTAGAGTTTATTTTGGAAACACAGCATTTGGAATGATAATTAGGAACTATTTCCTGGTGGTGTTTTCAGTGCTGAACTATTCAGTCTGATCTAATGAAGAGGTCAGCTGAGACTAATGAGGAAGGATTGCAATAATAACAGCAGATTAACTCTGCATATTCTAAACTGCTGGACTAAGAGAACATTTGGAAGACCCAGTGAGTTGTAAATCAGAGGAGGATTATGCAAATAGCCCACGGCTGGGGATCACAGCCTGATACTGTTGGGAAAAACAAAAGCTTGGCAGGCTCCCTCCCCAATCTGAGCAATTTTTAATCGCAAGGGGAAAAAAAAAAAAAGGTGATGGAGGTAATTTTTCAGTCTGTTATTATTATAGTTTTTGACACACATTTCTCTTGTGGAAATGGATTTAAATTATATTACTGCTAAGTTTTCTCACTTACTGAATGGGTTCTAAGGACAGCAATGATCTTTGAAAGGGCCATGTTCCACAATTCATCAGTATATGTTCTAGTTACCAATCCTTGGGTCACATGTAAGATGTGGTCTTCCACTACAAAGAAACTAAGACAAAAACAATACTTAAGTTAAAAAGTTATTTCCAAACACTAGAGCAAATTTTGCCCTTTCATACAGGAAGTACAAATCAAACCCTGGCCATGTGAGAAGTAAAACTTCAGGGTTCTGTTTTGCCCACCATAAAGCCATAACACTAAAAGCTGGTTTTATGCCAGTGTGGCAACAAACTTCTGGCATATGGGAGCTTTATGCTGCCCACAGGAGTTGCATAGAAACCGAATCTTTCAGAAGAAAGCTTTAGGAAGACGTGTGAACAGAGGGTGGTTAAGAATCAATACAGTAAAACTGGAATAAATCTCAATTTAGAAAACTTACCCTACAATTTGACTGAAGTATCTTCTATAGCCTTCTACTGTTTCATGCTTTCAGCGAAAAAGAAAACAAGTTTAGGAATAAAAATAGCATTGAATATTAGGTACAACCCAAGTCATTGCAAAAACAAAAGTGGTGGTTACCATGCTTGATTGCGGCTGCAGAACTAATCTTGCTTGTTTCCTTCTTTGCTTTCTGTAGTAAGTTTCAAATATTTCTCCATCACCCTAAACCAAGAGGAAAATAGTTTAAACAAGAACACACTCTCAGTATGAAAAAGTACTTCTGAAATTAGGGGTAGAATACTCTGTTCTAAACTGCAACCACATATTTTGCATTTGTTCCACACTCAAACATCCAGCTAAGATCAACGAAATTTTACATGCATGAAATATTCACTTTTTTTTTTTTTAAAGCAGTCTACAGATTGCACTGAAAAGAAAAATTCTGCTCATGTGACTAGACTTAATCAAACAATATTTAAGTTTTTAACACATTAAATATAAAGAAATGTGTAAAGACATGAATTATAGGGGAGGCATTAATTATCATTCTGTAGTGGATACTCACTTTTTCTTTAGGTTCCTCAAGAAACTGAGTGCATTATAAGTTAGCTATAATAATGTTTCTGATATTATACATCTCAGTACGAAATGCATTTGCTCTGCATGAGCAGAATACATATAAGTTATATCTAATATTTGTTTATTCCCTCTGGAACTTGTAAATATAATTACTGCAGATTTGGATTTTTCTGCTATTAGTCCTCAAAATAGCACAATTTCTGTGCATGATTATATTGTGAGAAATTCAAGTGACGTCCTAGCCATCTAATTAAGATGACTACTCAGTGCAGACCATCTGTCCATCTGAAATCAGTGCTATATTGACTCATCCGCATACTAAATGCAATGCAATTTGTATGCAAGCAGAATAAAGAAGCTTAGCATTTTTTAAGGTTTGGTTTTACTTCATAATCCTATTATTAGACCACTGCTATTAAGAATTCCATTACCTGGGCTTCCAAAAAATTTCCAAAATCCAAAAATAAATATATTATAGAAACTGCACATTCCTAAGCCAGCATTACTTATCTAACACTTATGAGATAGAACAGAGAAAGTTTAATTTTAGTATTTTATGTTCATACTGAATATTTGACCATATTTAAGGATATTGTTAAACCACCCCCCAAAAATGATTGAAATCAGCTTATTTGCTGGAACAGCTTATTATAGCAAGATTTTACAATGCATTATAATTCATACTAGCATATATTTATCAGACACACTAACCAGTCACCTCCAGCCCAAAACTTCAGTGCAGGTTCTCAGACATCCCAAAACAGAATTTATTCTCCTTCCCATACCACATCTCCACTCTGCCCCAGTAGAAGTGTCTCAAGTCAAAAAGAACTGCTGTTCTTCTCAAAAGAACACACCCAAAACTGAGATTTAAAATATCTCGTGATTATTTACACATCATGTAATCCTATGCAATCAAAACCAGCAGTTGAGGTGCAACTACCCCTTTAAACAGATGCTCTAAAGCAATCAGTAGATTAAAGAAAGAATCCTATAAACAACCTCTACAGATATAGGTTAGCCTATAAGATAAACAACAAAAAAAGGAGAAATGAAGAGACTAAACTTTAAGACATTCCAATATGAGTGACAAGTATAAAATTGCTAAGTTACATTGGGATCTATCTCACAGTTAGAAAAAAATCATAATATGAGTGAGTACAACATGAGTTGCTCCAGAAGAAAAGTTGAATCCAAGCAGGCAACAGGCATACACAACAAACTGGAAGAACTTAACAGCTGCCAAATACTTTAGACAGTCGAATATAGCTGTTGTTTCTATATGATCCACCATGTTAAGAGTATTTTTTCAAAAAACCCTTCCATTTCATAGTCTAAAGAAAAGATCTTGCCCATGACTACAGTCTGTTTGGTGTGTTGACACCTTGTAATCACAAGGCTGTAATCACAAACCTTCTTTATAGTGACTGAAGCTATGGAGTGCTCTGAGGTCTGCAAAAGTTGCCTTTCCTCTGCAACACAAAGGAGTAGACAACTTATGTTCTGTGTTAAAAATCTGTTTTCTACAACTTTGTGGGAGAGAGATAATTCACTCCTTAGGTGACATCTGCTTGTGAGATAAGGTCTCGAAGCAAAAATGTAATGAACCACCACCTCTTGTAACCTTCCCACCTCTGCTGTCATCATATAATTCTGCAAGCTCCAAAATATGAAGAGATGGTTTACAAAGGGAAGTAAAGGAGAAGGACTCCAAGAGTGGTTAATGCACCGCTAATCCTACCAAGGATTATTAATCAGATGATTTCAGTCGTGAGAAAATAATAAACCACTTTTTACCGAATTACTTCCAAAAAGTTTAAATTCTTGTTAGCCTGTTCATAGTCCTTCTTCTGCAACAACTAATATGGGCTGTTGTTCCTCTGCCACTGAATCTGGCCTAATCTGTCCCATCACAGTCTGTCACCATCTTCAGCTTCTGCAGACTATTTTGCTCTACTTGTTTTTTTTTGATTTCCGCAAGGTTCAGACTGAATATACCTATGCTTTGTAATGTTGACCATCTTCCCCCAAACATTTGGGCAACATGCGGCACTTGGGAGAACTGCAAAAACAGTGTTATTATTGAGGCAAACATGCATTTATCACTTATATTCTTATGACCACTTACGAAATTAAGTCTTGTTGGGTGCTCCTTTTTTATGCACATAAAATAAACCATGCAGTAATACCCTGAGTACCTAGGCTACATCCATTTCAGCCAGTTCATCCAGGACTATATAAGAAATATGCTTGCTTATGAATTTCAAGAGCACAAAATGTAAGAAAAAGAACACTGAACTTCAAAAAACAAAACAAAACAAAAACCCACAATCTTTTTAAAGTCAACTTAATACATACCAAAACTGAGTAGATGTGCAAACACCTATAGACAGGAGAAAAGTCTACAAGATCTTGAACAGTTAAAACCTGGAGGAGGGGAAAAAAAAAAAAAAAAAAGGCATATAAGCATATAAAGCATATAATCTGCATAATGTGATACGTCATCAACAGAACTTGTCCATTCCATAAACACTTTGTAAGGCATCTTACTAGTAAGGAACTGTCATTTTCTTTTAAACTGAGTTTTAGTGCCCTTAATTTTAAAACTGCTCAACATGGCTTCTAGGAATATGGATGCTTAGTGAGGAATTAGTAGTTTAGTAGACTGTGATGTCAGTAGATCAGTGAATTTAAATTTCAAACAAATATGTAAATTCTTTGGGTTGATTACAAATACATGATCCAATCAAGCCAGCAAAAGGCAACTCCACTGACAGGTTTTATGGTCACTAAAACCACTATTTTGATAGAAAGTGTCATAGAGACTATGCTTTAATGAAAGATCATGGTAAGATTTTCTTTTTCTGCCAGTAATTTCAGTCATTCTGTCATGAAGAGTGAACGAAAAGCTTGTCTCCTTCCTCTCTTTCTATTACAGTTTTAGATTTTCCTTGTGTTACAAAAAAGACTGTTTTCGCAGTATTTTCAGAACTTCAGACTCCAGCGTCTGATACTTGATCCTTTATTCAGGAAAAAATATGAATACTGAATATTTAATAGCTGAAACAGGTCTAACACAAGCTGAAATCCTCAACAAAGTAATGATGGCTGCGCCACTAACAACAGAACACTGCTGTAAGCCACACATCACCCGCAGTGGGCAGGTAATATAAGTTGCAATGGAATTCCTGAATAATTACAAGTTCTATTCAACAGAACACCTCCAAATAGGACACTGAAGCTAACATTAATGCAATCAACATTTTGGCATGCTTTTTTTTTTCAAAAATGCTGATCTGCCATAGTACCCCCTTTAAGGGATTCTCTAACTCATCCTAACTGCAACAATGTCACATCTATAGATAGTACCTTTAAAATTTATTCAATTAACCTATAAAATTCACTTTAAGTAAGCTCTACTGATTTAGGATAAAGTTACCTCTTCCTCATGCTCATCTTCTTCCTCAAATGTCCTCTTCAGTGTAATTTCATTCTTTGATTGCCAAACTCTGTTTTTACCTAAATGCGTATTCCGACCATAATTTACATTATTCTGCTTCTGAAGAGTGGTACTAAAGGTTTTCTGCTGCTGCGCCTGTTTTAAAAGTAGCATCAATACAGAGCGATGTAATACAAATTTCATTACTGAGGAATATATGCTATGGCAAGAAAAGCAGATGTCTTTTATTCATTCTTACAGGCTGGCTAGATATGCATCTCTCTGTTCTGGTAAGTCCTTACTTCGCACCCTGCTGTTGAGTAGCAGAGTGTCTTGGGGTTAAATATATTAAGTTTTTCTTTTCTCTCTGCATTCTCAGGGAAAAAACTGCTTCTGGTCTAGGCCACAAATACAAACTCAGGAGGAAAATCTGAGTGCAGTGGAAGAGCCACACTGCTGCTTCCTCTATTAGTCAGACATTGCTAGAATTAACAACTTTGTGTCAGGAAGAAGAAACTATTTAGGATGTTAACAAGCACTTTACAGCTCTACTCAAAAGTCTAGGTGATGACTATAACCCCACACAAATCTTTTGGGCTAACCTGAGGCTATCAGTGACAGACTTATGACAGTGTAGCCATACAAGCATACAATCAAAAGTAAATTAACTGTCCAAATGAGTTTTACAGCCCACAATGAACTCCATGTTACTGTAACTACACCAGTGGCACTACGCAATCTAGTAACATAAACATACCCTAAATTATGTTAGTTAACCACATTTTTAGGAAGCTTCTATTTTTTTCAGTTTTAGGATAACTTTCAGCAGATAAGAGGATGGAAGTCATACTGCTTACCCAGCAGATAGGCTTACCTGCTTCATTGCAGTTTCACCAATTTTATCAGAATGCTTTCGAATGCTCTCTAAGAAATCCTTGAGATCTGACATGGAAATTTCTTTTATTTCTTCACGCAGTTTTGGAAGATTTTCTATCATTATCTGGCAAAAACGGTATTGGCTAACTCTAGGAAGATACAGATTTTCTAGCTGTTCCATTGTTTTTAAAGCAGAATAATATCTGTAAAGAAATGAGAAACAAATTACGTAGCTATTTTATTAATGTTTATAAAAACGTTTTATTAAATATATCAATTTCATTCCTGCAGTCTCTGCCCACAGAGGGGCACCAAGGCTATAAAAATTATCTCCTTTCTTAGTTTAAATTACTGTACTGCGAAAACTTTTTTTTTTTTTTAATTTACTTATTTTTTTAATTGAGTCTTGTATTCGCCCAACTTTTTCAGTACCTGCATCAGACATTGAAAAAAAATCTTGGAAAGGGGTGCCTGTTACACATGTCCTCTTTAGAAATATGTGACCATATGTGCACACACATCCCCCCTTTTCTTCCAGCTAGCGATGGGACAAAACACGTACACATCTATCTTGAGCTGTACTTTTCCCAGAAGTATATCATGTTTTGTCTGCAAACCAAGAGTCTATTTATTGTTCTGACAAAGTACAGGACATCCCATCAAGAAAATGACTAAAAGAACTGAACCTGCTGTACCACATGGTCATTATTTACATTTTAAGCAGCTTTTTTAATGATCTGTTATTCCCTTGGCAAAAGAAAGCCAAATCTTTGAGATCCCTGTAGGAGACTGTACAATAACACAATAAGTAAAGAAACTGAAGCAAATTTGACATCAGAGAGTTACTTATCCACCTCCTCTCTCAGTACTCTCCTAGATTACAAGGGTTTCAGGGTCAAGACTTACTTGCTAAAACCATTCATCCATTGCAAGCCATTGCATTCATCCATTGCATTCACATAAGGAAAATTTTGAAGTTTCCAGCTGATTTAGGGAAGCATTACAATAGGAAATTGTTATAGTTAATAAAGGGAAATTAGTTCTCAGACTTTCTGAAGAGATGAGTACCACCAGAGGTGATTCAGAGCACTGAGTTAGATTCCTACACGCCTATTCCTGAAGTTAATTCATTTTCAAACATCACATAGGCGCCACAGTTCTGGATACTGCCAAAAAGCTTCTGAAATTTTTTATGTTATTTTAAAAAATGAAGCAAAATAAATATGAGGCAATTCTGCTACAGACAGTAAAACTAAGAAGGCAATAAATGGAAATATCATGATTGCTAAAACCACAGAATTAACAACATTTTAAAGAGAAGTAGACAGAAGAGGTCAAGAAGCATCAGAAGCATCACACCTGTATAAAAGATTTTTATTTGAATTATACAGATTAGCTTATCAAGCCACTGTTAGTTCATCTGGAAGGTTTTTGACTGTGGTCTCCAAGATCCAAATTAGCATAATCCATTTTAAATCCATTCTAGAGTCCCTCACTGATTATACATACACTGATTATACATATATGTATATATACACATATGTATATATACACATATATATATACACACATATATATATGAAGCTCAGGACCTTGCCCTTCTAACATCTGTTCTGACAAAGCACTGAAACCATCTTGTTTTGAAGGTCACTTGCAGATCAGGATTAAACTAAAAAGTTTTACATGTTATTTCATAGAATGATGTATTTGTATTTTTTGCTTAAAAAGCATTATATAGATTTAACTCGATGGTTAAGATCTTCTCTGACAATTGTATTAGTTGTCTCCATATATTACCAAACACTCAAGCCAAAAAGTTGCCCATTTAAATAAAAATGAATTAAAGGAGCATCTTCAACAGTATTTTGTCATAAATACAGCAGTTCTCTACTTATCCTTCTGAGTTACTTTTGTAAGAATAGGTTTATCAAAACAAATTTCTTCATTTGAAATTTGAAACTGAAAATGCAGATTTGAAACTCTAATGAAGGTCTGTAAGATAAGGCTGTGCAGAATTGAATCGTCTTGCCTTCAGGGCCAGAAAACTGTAAGTTGAATTGTACTAATCTTTACTAACTCCTCCAAACTATAAGAATGAAAAGTTCTAAAAACTGCAAAGAGCAGAATTGGAGGAAAAACAGAAATTAGTGTCACAATTTTGCATGATCTTATTTTACAATCATCCACCTCCCTGGCACTGAACAGTCAGGTCTGTACTAGAATTTAAAATTTTAGGACAGGAATCATTAGTTTGAATTTCTGCTAGCAGTAATTTATGTTTTAAATGACAGAGTGAGTTAAGATTTTTATCATTGGAATGTATTTTGGAGACAAATAAGAGAAATACTGCAACTTCCTAAGGAAAAAAAAAAAACAAAACTCATCAAATTAAATTTTAGCTAAAACATCAAGCAGCGACGAAGGACAGGAGCTAGACAGACTCGATAGCATTGGGTTTTACTGAGGTCTAAGAGCTTGTAGGCAAGCCTTTGAAAAAGATAAGGGTACTCGT